TTCTCCTGGGGAGAGATTCTTAGCATCCACTAGGATATGAAAGGTTCTTTTTAGTCTTTTTAAACTTTTTTAGCTTGGTTCAACCTAGTGTTTGTCCAGCCTCATATGAGCACAGAACATTTCAGAGGGAAGACTTTGCAATGTAGTGATTAAGAGCATTAACTTGTTTTTATTGTTTATTTGTCTGTTAAATGTAAATAGATTATTTTTAGAGTAGTTTTAAGTTCACAGCAACATTGAGCAGAAAGTACAGAGAGTTCCCAGATACCCCCTGCCCACCCCCGTGTGCTTAGCTTCTCCCATTATTAACATCCTGCACCACAGCCGTGCATCTGTTTCAGTTACGGAACCTACACTGACATGCCCTCTTCACCTGAAGCCCCCAGTTTACACTATGCTTCACTCTTGGTGTTGTGCATTCTATGGGTTTTGACAAAGGTATAACGAAATGTGACCATCCTTATGGTGTCATACCGAATAGTTTCACTGATGTAAAAATCCTCAGTGCTCTGCCTATTCATCCCTCCATCCCTCCCTACAACCCCTAATTTTTTTTTCAATATCTCCATTGCCTTTTCCAGAATGTTATATAATTGGAACCGTATAGGTTTATAGCCTTTCCAGATTGGCATCTATCATTCAGAAATATGCATTTAAGGTTCCTCCATGTCTTTTCATGGTTTGATACCTCATTTCTTTTCAGTGTTGAATAATATTCCATTGTCTGGATGGACCACAGTTTATTTATCCCTTCATCTGCTGGAGGGCAATTTGGTTACTTCCAAGCTTTGGCAGTTATGAATAAAGCTGCTATGAACATCTGTGTGCAGTTTTGTGTAGACAGAAGCTTTCAGCTCCTTTGGGTAAATGCCAAGGAATGCAGTTGCTGGATTGTTTGGTAACAGTATGTTTAGTTTTGTAAGAAACCTCCAGACTGTCCTCCAAAGTGGCTGTGCCGCTTTGCATTTCCACCAGCAATGGATGAGAGCTTCTGCTGCTTCATATTCTTGCCAGCATTTGGGGTTGTCATGTCCTGGATTTTGGCCATTCTGATAGGTGCATTGCTGTTGCTTTTTGATTTGCTGATTGATTTCTTAAAGTGCGGAGGCTGCTTGATTATTTGCAAGTCTATTTATTAATAATGCATTTCATGACATAAGTTTGAGAGCATTGACTTTGAAGACAAGAAGGTTCAGTCAGTGCTCTTCCCCCTCCAGCTGTCTGCATTTGAGTCAGCTACTCATTCTCTAGACCTGAGTTTCCCCATCTGAACAACAGGGTGGAAACATGTATCTGTGAGGTCGTGGTGTGGATTCAACAAGATGAAGTGCTTAACACAGCCTCTAGCATGTGTTGAGTGTTTTTAAAAACACCTAGCCAGTGCGGAAATGCTGCTCCAGGCGTTCTTTGTGGTCCTCTCACACATTCCCTCCTCCCTTTCATTTGATCTGCACATCCCTGTCTGCACTTCCAGGCCATAGGCTTGGAATGTCCTTAGTGTTAATTACCAAGGGTTTTTTTTTTCCTCCTCTATTTAAGCAACTTCAGAAATCGCTTTAAGTATCTTTCCATAACTAATTGAAAACAAATTCTTGAATTCTTATCTACTCTGATCTTCCCTGTCTCTAAAGATGAATCTGTCTGAATCTCTGGATCTGTCTGTCTTCTGTGTTTCTCCCTCTTTCCCTCCATCTATTGCTTCCTTCCTTCCCCCTCCCTTCTTCTTTTTCTCTACTCTCAACCCCTCTACCTCCCATTTCTCAATAAATATCAATAAATATGTGAGAACCTGCTAAGGGCCAAAGACTGTGCTAGCTGCTGGGTGTGTAAAATAATTAAGGTGGCCTGTGGCGTGCACATTCCAACTGGATGGTGTATATGGTCGTGTGAGGACCGGACCGCCTGGGGTCGGAACTGCTCTGTAGGAGAAGCCTTGATCCTTTATCCTTGCTTCTCCCTGTATGATTTCACGTCATGGCTCATGTCCCCTCAGCTGTTCACATTATCAGTGTTGTCAGTCTTGGGCCACGAGCTCCCTGGGAACAGAGATGAAGCCCCTCGTACAGCCAGGGCCTTGGTACACAGCGATCAGAGATGTATTCAATGTGCAGATAACACAGGCTGGCAAAGAAGGCTGGGCATGTACATACGAAAGGTAGACATTTACCTGCAGTTCGCAGATGGATGCCTTTATTGTTTTCTTCCCAGCTCCTGTCACATATAGAGAAACTTCGAACCTCAATGATAGATGATCTAAATGCAAGTAATGTCTTCTATAAGAAAAGGATAGAGGAGCTAGGGCAGAGACTCCAGGAGCAGAATGAGCTGATCATCACTCAGAGACAACAGGTATTTGGGGGCATATATTGGCACCGTTTTTCTTTAAGTGGTGCAATTTATCTAAGAACATGTGTTTTCATTTTAGAGTATTTGTTAATTTGGATAAGGTAAAGAAAATGGAACAATTTTCCCCCTGTGGTTGTTTGTAAAAGTAAATCCAATAAAATAATTTTTTAAAGGTATTTTAAAATATTGTAGAGTGAGCAGATTTATTCATTTAGAATTCAGAATAAATTTGAAGGTTGATAAGAATTTCTTTTGGTAATTACTTTGAGAAGCAGCTCAGTCTGAGTACGCTTTCATAAAGTATTTGCCTCCATGTCTTTAAAGCCCGCATGTCCTGTGTCTTTGGGGGGTTTAGTGAAAAGGTTCGTTTACTGAGTACAGTCTCTGTCCATTTTCCAGTATGTCCCTGTCTAGTTTCAAATGCGTATCGCTGAATGATTGTGTTTCTTTGCAGATTAAAGAGTTTACCAGTAAACCATTAAACAGTGTCAGTGAACCCAAAGGTAAGTGTACCAGGATCCCAGCGCTGGAGGCACGGCAGGCCTCCCTAACTGTGCGTTGGACAACAGGAGAATGTGGGGCCCTGTTGGTCCACTGTGCTAAGGTGGCATTCCTCTGGTTATTTTAATTTGGGAGACCTGTTACCACAACCCAGAGAGTTGAAGAATTTTAAATACTGAAACTGTAACTGAATGGTCTCCTAACATTTTGATTAGAATATTGTTATGCAAATAATACATGCTCGGTCACCATACCTCTGGATGGATGTGCAGTGAGACGAATTATGATTTAAAGTACAGGGTCGAGGCAGATTGGGTTCGAATCTCATCTTTGGCACTTTGTAGCTGAGTCTCTGCCCCCGTTTCTTTAGCTCTAAATTTTGAAGATTAATAGTAATTGCATCTCAGGCTGTTTAGACGATTAAGTGGGAGAACATGCACAAAAAGCACCTGTTAAACTCTAGTTAGTGTCAGCCGTCGTTACTGGCGTTAACTCCTAGTTGTCCTGAAGTGCCGCGGAGGCTTGCTGCATGCGTCTCCATTGTGGGAGTCCTGCGTTAAGGGTTTGTTCTAAGCATAGTGGGGGGGATATCCAGCCTACTGACTGTAGCAATGACAGCCACCCATCTCCGTACCATTCAAGAGCTAGTCTAGAAGGGAGACTGGGAGGCAGAAGTGCAGGCTCTCCCAGTACACCAGAAAGCTTGCCTTCTGCGTGGTCTCCTTCCGAGTAAATCCCAGTCTTGATTCCTGCAAGTCTCAGGTTATTAAAGAATCTCTGTCTGCTTGATGGCTGCCAACTGGGGATTGGTAATGGGTGTGTGAGCTAGGTTTCCTCCCTGTTTCTGGGGGTCACAGGAGATAAGGTCATATCTCAGACATAGGCTGGGTTCAGTTCCAGACTATTGCAATGAAGCCAGTAATTACAATAAAGCAAGTCATATGAATTTTTTTGGTTTCCCAGTGCAAATAAAAGTTATGTTCACATTATACTGTAGTCTATTAAGTGTGCAGTAGCATTATGTCCAAAAAAATGCACATACTTTAATTAAAAAATACTTTATTGCTAAAAAGTGCTAACCATCACCTGATAATACAGAGTTGCCACAAACCTTCAATTTGTAAAAAAATGCAGTAGCTGCAAAGTGCAATAAAAGGGAAGCACAATTAGTGAGGTCTGCCTCCACAGCGACCTGCACACTTGTTTCCCTCTCCGTCTGAGATGAAGGTCTGGGAGGGGTGGTGCTTCCCTGTAACTCCTCTTGGAATAGTGAGAGTCCAGGTAGAGAGGAATACCTGTATAATTACTTACGCGGCATAAATATTTGACTGAAAAATAATTTTAAGAAAAAGTTAGCTTTAAAGGGATTTTTGTTAAACATCTTTTTTGGGTGAGTTGGTGTATGCTGGTAAATTTCATTTACTGTTTTCTACGGGAAAATATTAGGATATGTGCTAGCAAAATATAACCCATAGCTTGTGATTTTTGTTATTAATTAGTTTTTTTGTTATTTCAGGCAGTCCTTTAACCTGGCAAACTTTTGAGTCTAAGCCAACTGCCCCAGCTGTGCCTAGTAAGTTTTTATAATAGGCTCAGGGTTCTAAAGATATTTTTAAAGTGCTACATAAAGCCATACATAACTTCGACTTCTTATTTTTAGAGACTTTTTGAACACCAGTGTGTTTGGAGCTTATATAATGACCTATTTTGATTCCTGGCTTTGCCCTACATCTAAAACCCCACATTGTTAATATCCATGCGATTTTGGGGGTGGTTTTGGTTAGCCATACCTGTTATCTTACAGTTTGCCTAATAAAGGGACGACTAAAAACTCTCTGGCATCGCTCCAGTTTGTACTCTTGGGTTTCCCATGGTAACACACTGTGGCAATGTGACAGGGTGTGGTGGCCGCCACATTTTGGCATCACTGAGACACAGCACTGCAGGGTTTGTTTTGACCTGATGCCCCCATAGTCACTCAGTTGTGGTCAGCTCAGCACAGCTGTCTCCCGGGGCTGTCAGGATTTGGCTAGAGTCCAAAAAGACATAATCTGTACAGTTTAGAAGTGGACAGATTGTTTTCTTAATAATTAATGGTTGAAAAACTTTTTTCTAGTCAAGAAAACGTAAGGGCGAGGAAGTAAGGGAGCAAGTGATGGTGGGCCAGAGAAGACGGAGGTGTGAACAGGGTCTCAATACTCAGGGAAAGCCTGCACTGAGGCTGGGCCCTGAGCGACGATTCATATGGGCCCGGGACTGTGTGGTGATGAAAGGACTTTGATGAGCATGTTTGGGAATTTGGCACAATTGACTGGAAAATGCTAATGGTTTTAACTGTTCAACTGCTTCTTGAGGCCTCTTCATGTTGTTTCTGGAAGCTGACAAGATTGAGAGGTGCTGAGGAGGAGAGGGTAGTTTGAGTGTCAGGAGTAGGGTTGAGGAGAGAATAGAAGCCTGAACTTTTATGAAACTTCTAAAAAATGCATTTCAGAGAAGGATGGAAAAATTAAAAGACACTCAGTTTTTATCATTTATATTTTAACTATATTTGGCACAATATTGGAACAATAATGTGTTCCAATAAAACTTTATTTACAAAAAACAGCTAAGGGCTAGTATGTCCCACAGACTGTAGTTTGCCAAACCTGATCTAGATTAGCAAGTTGCAAATGGGTTTAAAGGTCATATTTCCAGAACTGTTAGCAATTTACCCATAGATAGGAGTTGAATACTTTGACCACCAGCCATTGTAGAGGCAAAATTTTATGACTCTGGAAGTAGCTGAGGTTTGTAGCTACGGTGTTTTAGAGTAGGATTAGAATTGAAGCTCTATCCTAATAAACTAGGGGAAGAGTTAGTAAATAGGCAGACAAATAGCTAAGAGAAGAACCTCAGACAGGAATCGTCAAACATTGGGAGAGAGGCTGTGGAATATAATTTTCCGAGGTATTCTGAAGTAGAGTGTTAGTCTTACATGAATTGGATACACTCCTCTCTAAAGGCTGTGGATGAATTCATGCCTTCTCACAGTGTCCTCTGGCCCAGTGACTGGGGTAGTTTTTTAAACTGGCTTATTATAAATGAATATTCATAGTATCACTATTCATAGTAGACAAAAAGTGGAAACAACCCAAATGTCCGTCAGCTGATGCTGAAGCATGCTACCCCATGGATGAGCCTTGATAACATGATGCTGAGTGAAAGAAGCCAATTACAGAGGACCGCATATTGAACTGCATGATTCTGTTTACATGAAAGGTCCAGAATAGGCAGATCCATAGAGACAGACAGTAGATCAGTGGCTGCCAGAGGCTGGGAGGAAGAACGAATAGGGCTAATGGTACAGCTGTTTTGAGAGTTCTCCAATGTGATGAAAATGTTCAAAAATTAGGTAGTGGTTATGGCTGCACAACTCTGTGACTATACTCAAATCCACTGAATTGTATATTTTAAAAGAATGAATTACATTTTAATAAAGCTGTTAAAAAAAGTGGTTTAGGTTTGTTGGTAATATCTTTGTCATTTGAAACATCTGCCCTTTACAGTCTGTATAGATCTTGACTAATTTAGTGAATATTTAGTTATCACCATGTTCAGATGCTCGCACTTTAATTACAGAACCTGTGAGCTTTTTCTTTTTATGCTGTTTCAGTGAGTGCCCCAGCCCCACAGACTCTGGATGCTAAGTCAAGTCTAACAGTGGCACATGGTAAGTTTCAGCAAAGTCTCAGCCTTTTATGTACAGTTTCTGCCTTGAGTTAGATAACCTATTAACTGAAAGTGCTTCTGTGGGGGTGATAATGCAAAACAAAACATTTTAGTGAATGCAAAACAGTTAATAAAACTGCAGTCTTTGGATGTAACGTTACTGTAAACTGAACATACCTACCAAAGTCATAAAGTATAAAATGTATCTATGGCTCGGCTCACAAGTAGAGGTTTTAACTCAGAGTAGTACTTTGATCCTTTGTGGTTTTTTTTGGTGAAAAGTAGTAGGTGCTGGGTGAGAGGGTGACTTTCTACTAGACCAGCCAACCAGCACATGCCACAGGGCATATGTGACTGTTTTTATAACTTTGAATGTGGCAGCAAGTCACCTTTTTTAAACAAACAGTTTCAGCGATTGGTTGGGAAAATCTAGAACACATGTGATGGAAACGAAAGGAAAAAAATAGAAACCAATGGACGAAATTGCTGCTGAGATCCAGTTCTTAGACCAGGCCACAGGGTGATAATTGTTAATATGATCTGGTAGATAGGGTGAATATTTGTAGCCATATTTTATTTTTATACAATTAAAGTACTAACAGCTTTTGTTTTGTGTTTTAATATGTTGCTTTCCTATGGTCTGCTGTATATTAAATGAATTAAGATATGAAGGGGACCATCTTTTTCCTATCTTACTTAGCTATAAATACTTCTGGAATCTAATGATTACTTCATTCCACTTTTCCTTCGTAGCCTTTTAGTTAGGACTTAAAGTCATGGTCAGTCGAGTTGGAATTTTTGTCTTCATAAATATTATGGTCCATATACGATGGCCTTTTGTACTTATCCTTTTTACTCACTGACTCATGAAATGTTTATTGCCTTTTATTTTTTTCCTAAGATCATTTTAGTTGGATTGATTCTCCTGGGCATGTGTTCACAACATGTAATGCATAAATTCTCCACATATTGGATGTCATTATTTACAGATGTTTAGAACATGCAGGTTTTTTTCCTTTGGACCAGGAACAGAGCTAATGTGTTTCTTGGACCTATATAAACTTACTTTAATATTGAATATGAGGAAATTATCTCTGGCAGTTACTCTCTATTCATATTATTTATGTCATGTCTTGCCTCTCCTTTTTTAGGGTTGATTTTATAACGTGTTGATGGCCACTTCTCTTTTGTAGGTCAAAATGGTTTTCTTTTTCCTTTTTCTTTTTTTTGTTTAGCCTTCTGTCTGACATTATACAAAGTCTGCTTTTTTTGGCTTTATATTTTTGGTGCCCTATTAAGGACACAAACAGCAGGCATGCTATGCTATCTAGAGCTAATTCAAGTGTCCTGACAAATCTGTCAGTTCTGGAGCACTGTCTTCCCTGTGGACCCTGCCCTGACTGGGCCAGGGCTGCATGAATCAGCCATGCCTCCTTGCTGGTATCTGCTGGGATTTAAATGCCAGCCAGACCTGGCACAGGGCCTGCAGCCCTTGGATTGGGATCAAAGCTGATTTGTGAGCATCTCAATGGGCAGGAGCAAGGAGGATGCATGGCTGGGGCCCACTGCCCTGCCCCCCACCCCCAGCCATGACAGCTTCCCCAGGTCATGGGGCGGGGGGTGCACAGGGAAGGTTAGTCACATATTGTGTAATGTTAATTAGCCCAACTACCTCTCTGTCTTTTATTTTGTTCTCTCAAAGAACCTTGATGAGATTCTTTACCACAAAAAATCTCTTAATTACTCACTTCTGAGGTTGGGTTCCCTGGGAAGGAGTCTCTGGGGTGGAGGTTTGCAGGTGAGGTTTAGGCAGTGCCCTTTAGGCAATCCTCCTGTAAAAGAAGTAGGGCTGGGCGTTAGGGGATGCTGAACTCAGATGCAGCGGCAGTGGAGGCCTCAGCAGACTGTTCTGGGAGCCTCAGAGCTGGAATGGGCACTTTGGAATTTTCCTGGATTGAGGTAATCAGTTACCAGATATGAGTTGTGCCAGGGAGGGGTGCAGGCTATTCCCTTCAGCTGAAACAAAGCAAAAAGTAGGAGCAAAAGGTAGCAGGAAAACACCAGATGAATTATTGGTGCAGACGAATTATTTGGCTGAGCATCGAGTATGCAGAAGAGATCTGAAGGATGTAAGGCTGGTTGAGGTTTTTCATGGGAACTGCTGAGTGCCAGACTGAAGCTGTCTGGGTCATTCTTGTAGCTGCTGAATGTACTGAGGTGGGCATGGCAGGATTGGAGAGGCGGGCTGTGGGAAACTTAGTCTGACCAGTGTGTTCAAAGAATCAGAGCTGGGAGATGGTTGATGATGTTAGCCTGTGTGAGATTCCTTACCTAGGAATCAGGGTTGTGGTAATGAAACAAGAGGGAGTAGACATAACAGCTGTTCAGTGGGATTGGGAAAGGGCTATGCTAGTGATTGAGGGGCAAAAGTGAGGGAAGGGTCAGACCATGAGCTCAGGTACTAAGTGGATGGCAGTGCCATTCAGAGAATTCTGGAAGACAAACCCAGTGAGTGCCAGTAGGGAGGCACTGGGGCTCTGTGGCCAAGAGCCTGGGCTTTAGAAGCAGACAGTCTGGATTCACGGTTGACTTGTGAAATCATAGGCTTAGGTTCCCTTGCCTGCCGAATGGGGAACAGAGTGTGGCTGCTACGGTGGGCTGTGGTAAGGACCAAGTGAGGCAGGTTCTTTGGAGCAGAAACCACTGAGCAAGCACTAGCTAAACGTTAGTCCCCAGGGTCAGAGTGATGAAGTCCAACAAAGTCAGCCAGTGGACAAGGGGCTGAGTGGAGATCTGGAAGTTTTTCTCCTGGAGGTAATGGTGGGAGACTGACATTTAGGATTTTTCTGGAAGCCTTGGACCAGTTCAGAGGGGAGACTCAAGCCTCTGAGAGTTTCAGTTCTTATCCTAGAGATCTCAGCTCTGGACAGGAACTGGGATGTTAGAGGCTGGACCTGTGGCTTATAGAGCATAAGAATGGTGGGTCTTCCCTCCCCACTTGGGATATCAGCCTGCTTATTTTGGGAGATGGGATCTGGTCAGCCTCACCTCCTCAGCCTTTATTATTGTGGGAGCCCAGGTTCAGGAATCTGCCCCTCCCCCTCTCTGCACCACTGCAGGAAATGTCAGAATTTCAGCAATTAATCCTGACTCAAGAGAATCAGTCATAGAATTATCCCAGTAATATAATGATAATAAGTATACAAATGATGATTTTGTAAGATTTTACAGAACTTTTCCTCATTATTCTTGTCATGTTCATAAAGTACAATAAAATATAAACCACGTGATTTAAAAAATGAAATTAGCTGTCCTCCTAAACTCTCTATTCTCAGCAGTTCAAACAGCAGAATAGTCTACTTTGTATAACTTTATTTTTTTAATTTTTAAAAATTTTATTAAGGTATAATTGACATAACATTATATTAGTTTCAGGTATACAATGTAATGATTTGGTATTTGTATTTGATTTGATATATACTGCAGAATGATGACTGCAGTAAGTCTAGTTAACATCCATCGCCACACATGGTTACACATTTTTTTCTTTATTTGAATAATTTAAAAATCTTGATGCTGAATAACAAGTTTGAAAGCACATTTTTGGCATTCAGCAGTTGCGTCACATGGATGGAATAAAATACTCCTTTGCAGGGCCATGTTTATGTTTCAAAATTAAAGTGGGCCCCTCTTTACAAATCAGCTGTGTTCTGAAATTTCATTTGAGAGTAAAATGCATTTCTCCCATACAATGTTAGATATGGACTAGGTTGCTGAACAGTCTATAAGAGCCTATTTATGTATATAGTATATATATATTTATTCATATATACCTTTCTCTCTCTATGTGTGTGTGTGTGTGTGTGTGTGTGTGTGTGTATTTGTATATGCCTAAAATAGAGTACCAGAAATACCCTTTAATAAATTAAGAACCAGACTGTTAAAGTAGGGGTATTAAATTCAAGATAATAGGTGCAAAGCACTTGATCTGTGCCCGGCAGCCCGGTGGACACTCAGTAATTGTTGGCCATTATTCCCCTCCCCAATCATCCGCCCTGGGGTCTGGTGGCAGGATGAAATGACCTCCATTCTGTAGGTGCATGTGGAGGGCTCTCTGGGGAGGTGCCCTGCGTCAGGCTCCAAGTTGAAGGTGAATGAACCAGGAGCCTCCTGAACCAGACTTCTGGTTGCCTTTCATTCCGTGTCTAATGCCTGAATGCTGTGGTTGGACCTTTAGCCAAAACCTGACCTTCCACATGAAGGAACTTTCCCTCTGTTGATAGGATGGGGTTTGGCTTTATCCGTGCTGCCCACAGTTTTCCTTGTGTGTGCACAGTGACATGTCCCTGGGAAGTCACGCAGAGGCCTCATCTCCCCCGGCCAGTGATCGGGGTGGGATTGGGAAAAGCCCATCTTCATGTGTTATTTGTCTGCATCTTCGCCCTGGTGGCTTCCTGGGAGCAGAATGAGGTCTTAAAATGTGGCTTTGGGTCACGGAGGTGTATAATAATGGGTCTTAGTCCTCCTGCTGAGCCCAGGATACCTGTCCCTGCCCTTTTACCATTCTGGTCCTCCTAGTTGAAGACCCTGGGGCGAGCAAGAAGTGGGAATCCCACGGCCGTGGGATTTTTTTTAATGCTTTTATCTTTGCAGATTGGAATATTTTCAGTAATTTTCTATTTAGCCACCTGATCAAGATATTTTACAAGGAAAATATTTTTAGGGTAGGTGAAGAAGATATTCTGCAGTCACGTCCTTGTACATTAAAAGAAAAAAGAATCATATCAGGCACTAAGTTGATAAGTGAGAAAGTTTAACTTAATTATTTAAAAATACAATCTCCGCAGAGTGGAGTTAACAGAAAATACATAGAAAGGGAAGATACTTTGGAAAAGCAACCAGCTTTTACTGACTGCCTTAATGTATTTTCCCCAGTAAATTCTTGCTATTTTAGGCATAATTAAAATACTATGGAACTGTATCTTTCAAAAGTGTTTGAAAGAAACTGACTTTACTCTGCTGTTGTCCTGTTTGTACTGTTCTTATTTTTCCTCATTAATAGAACAGGCATTCTCATCGCACATACTGGAACCAATAGAAGAAGTTTCAGAGGAAGAAAAAGGTAACAAAAAGCTTGATCAGGGTTTATATCTGCATCGATTACATTTAGATGCTAAACCCAAGCCTTGAAAGTATGATCCAGTGGTTTTTACTGTAGTGTATTGAAATTAGGGAAGATGTTTAGGTTTGGATTACATTTTCAATCTATATGTAGTATTCTGTCATCTTACTCCCCTAATAAGCTGTTATATTTTCCCGTTTTACTGTATTCTTAGCATATGAGTAAGAAACTTCCTGTGTCAAGGAACTTGAAAAAAAAATTTAAGCCTTAAAGCCAACACAGAGATTTTCTGATCAGATAACAAGTCGACACACACGTGCCATGTGCCAAATGACACAAAAATACTCCTATCACAGTAGTTGTTTCTCATACCCTGAGTCTATGAAGTGAATAGGTGAAGAGCCCGTTTCAAAAGTTGTTTTTAATAGCAAGGGAGACCTAATGTCTAAGCTCTGAGTGTGTAGTATTTATGTCCAGAGTATCTTTATGGCAGAATTTGGGAGCTGTTACAGGTTTGGGGAGATAAATAAAATTATTACTCTTCCTCATTTTATTTGACAGTTCTAAAAATTATTCTCTATCAACTAATTTTTTGAAGTTTGTGAATATTTATTTACATTATTAAGAGCATTTCTAATGCTGTACTTATCCTAAAACAATTATATTCAAATCAGTTTATCATAATTTTTTCCTTTGTAATAATAATGCTTTACCATATGTCACTTCTTTAGGAGAAATCAAAATGTTTATGTGGGCTCTGATTTTGTCATTTTTGTTAGGAAGAGAGGTAAAAAATATATATTCTAATAAATTCTTAATATTTGTTATAACTTCTGTATTCTGTAGACTTGTTTCAAAAAATTTTTTTGTTTTCACAAGGCTAAAAATTGAGAAGAGACTAAATCAGGCATATCCATAATATCTATGTGATGTGTATTTTCATTTTACTTGCATGTAACATGCTTTCTCTCTCCTACATAAGTATCATTTATCAACGTCTGTAACACAAAATCCCTTATTCTTGGAAGAATCTATGAAATGTGTCAGGAGGGTCATAGATAGGGTCCAAAATTCTGAAACTGGGATCTTAGGTCATATAGTTCACCCTCATTTAAAAAATGAGCCAGCTAGGTTCCAAGAGGAATCCTGATTTGTCCGTCATCACCACTTTGGTTCCAGGTTCCAGCCACTGCGTATTCTGCCTGTCCTTCTTTTAGGATTCTTCTACCAAGATGTTATAAGGCATGTTAGGGACATTGACAGCAAACACCATTGTTGGTTGTTGCCACATTTGGGGGGCTGGGCTGGGAAAGAAAATAGTCTTCATCACCCTCCTCGTGTTCAGACACAGCTCTGGTGGAAGATGGGAGAGCGCTGAGGACAGCTGAGAACACCCAGGTCCCAGCACACTGTTACCAAAACCAGTGACCGCATTCTTCTGGTGCCTCCATGGAGCCAGCATGCTGGCAACAGGTTAATTGCTGTCAATAAATTCCTCATGCTAACATTTTGCAGACAAAATGCCTGCGCAGCTAAATTTTGACAATAGTTTGCAAAAACACTACAGCTTTTACCAAGAAGTAACTCATACGTGACTATTTCTGCATCCTTACTTTTTGACAGTAAAGTAAGGCAGACTTGATCTTGTTGTTCTATAGGATGTTAGAATGTGAGGGCCAGGAGGAATCCTAGGGACTATTTTATTTTCAGAAACATGAAACACGGGGGGATTAGGAGCTTGCTTTAGGTCACTGAGTTTAATTAGAGCCAGTGCTGAACTGAAGTCCAGGTTTTGTGCCTTCCGTAGTTTAATGCAAAGAACAAAATGGGGGAGAAAGTCAAGCTGGTCCCGCCTCTGCAGGACTATATGGGTGGTTTTGGGGGAAGTCTCTTTACCTCTCTCATTTTAGAATCTTCATTTGAAAGATGAAGAGATTGATTACTAGATGAACAAGTTCCTTCCAACTTAGAAATTCTGTTGTGTTTTGTTTGTGTGGGTTTTTTTAACTACTTGCTTTGCACTGCAATTATTTGCTTACCATAAATGGTGTGTTGTAAGTCTGATATAACTGATCACACGTGTGGGCTATTGTGTGTTAGCCTGGCTGTCGGCTTGGGCATGCTTTAAAATTTTTAATTAGAGGAAATGCTGATCTCAAGAATATTTTTTCTTGTTGATCTTGGTGAGCAGTACATGCTTTAACTAAATTCTTCAGTTCTGATTAGCTTTCAAGTGATTGATTTCACCTTTACATAAAAACTTAATTTTTTTTCCTATCCACGCTATCTTCTTTCTCTCAGTTCCGCCGGCCAGCCTCAGCCTTGTAAGAGTCCTTCCTGTCAAGGGTTTTCTCATTATTCACAAATGGCTTTCCAAAGCAAGCATCAATGTATAAAGTGAATTTGAAGACTGAGGCAAATGTTTAATCTGCAGTCATTTGGAGGAACTCGGACATCAAAATGAACCTGTCATCAGAGTTGAGGGTGAACCTGGACCAATCAGCAAATGAATTCAGTTACTGCTGTCAAAGGCCTTACAACTCTTCTAAACCATGGCCAAGCCATTCTGAGCATCACTTGACCACTGCATGTCCTGGAGCAGACAGGATATGCAGCCCCTCTTCAGGCTTTGCTTCTGTGTTGTTCCTTTTATATCTAAGTTGCTGGCCAAAGAATTATCTTAGCATAATTGGGGCAAGAGGTGCATGTATTTCAATGGTAGCTCGATGACTTCCAGGCTCTCTTGGTATTTCTTTTTACCTTTAGCCTTAGAGTTGCAGAGTTGATGGCCAACTAGCAGTCAAAGCCAGCGACACAGTCATGGATGCAGCTAAGCCCTCTAGATACTGATGGATTCAGTTCCTGGGACAGAAGTGTCTTTTTTTTTTTTTGATGGTTTCAGAATACTGGGAAAACGGCAACCTGAATGCTGAGAATATAAAGTTTAAGAATATAAAGATTTTGTTCGTGTAGAATCATATAAAATTTTATAATTTCAATTTAGCAAGCCACAGTACCAAAGTATAGAAAAGCATCATCATGTAGAATTTTCCCTCCTATTTAATGCACAAATAGTAATTTGACTGATTTTGCTTTCAACAAAACTCTTAATTAATGAACAGAAATACTCTTTACTACTGGACTTGAACCAGTGTTTAGAAAACATCTTCACAGAGGGTCTGAACTGCCCAGCACAGGGTCTCTTTCCTTGAGTCTTTGGTTTCCTTTGACATAAGGACTCAGTTCTTCAAGGTCATGTGATCATGCCCCTTTCTCCAAACCCTCTTGAACTAGACATTTTTTGGTGAGGAATAACAGGAACAAGGAAGGACAAGTTAAGTGAATCTGGCCTGTTATTTTTTCTTTATTTTTAATTATAGGTTGTTTTAAATAAAAGATACTTTTCCTAAGACCTTTGTTAATTTCTTTTTCATTTTGGTAAATATTTTGAGGATGATAATTTTCACCTTTTGAAATTTTATGTGAACTTAACCTCCACTAAATTTATTATATGAAAACTTAGTTATTTAAATTAATAGGTCTTTTTCTTCATTAAATGATACCTAAAGTCTAACTGAATTTAGGAGAGATGAATCTTTCAGGAAGTAGCAAGATAATTTTAGGACAAAACGTTAAACTTTTAAATAAGTTTTTTTCCATTTTGCTTTCTAGAGGCATATTTTGTACATTATTTATCTAGTTATAATTTGGTTAAGTTATCAAAAAAAGAAGTCTTTAAGGATACTGAAGTTTTGAAGCAGATTTAAGATAGTTTTAAAAATTACAATACTTAAGATCCTGTATTGCATTGAATGACTAAAATATCCAAAAACTTTAAAACACTATAAATGCTTGCTTGCTGTTTAGAAGTTGTGTTTTGCCATTTTCTGCTTAGAGGTTTAATGCATTTGTGTAATTCCTTTTTAACACATTTCTTAAACCTTATTTCAGGAAGGGACAATGAACAAAAATTAAACAACACACGTTTAAGGAAAGCTTTGAGGAATAATCCCTCCCTCACCAAGGAAGTAAGAACAGTCTTGGAGCAGAGTTTGGTGGAGAAACTGGAAACGCTGGGGATTAATGCAGTAAGTTCACTCACTTTGGGAATATTTGCCGGTTTTGTTTTGTTTTCTAAATAAGAAAGGATCAGAGAAGAGAAGAAGGCATGTCAGTTCTGTCACATTTGGAGACTAGAGGCTAAGGTGATTTGATTCATTAAACACTTAGCTGGAATTCACATGTGCTTTACACCTTTCAGAAAGCTTTCCAAATATTATTCAAACATAAAAACCAGTCTCTGAGGTAAGTGACAGCATTATCTGCATTTTACAGCAAGGTGAAGTAATTTGCTTTAAGTCACACATTAGTGATGAAGGAGCCAGGGTTTGCATCTAGGCAGTTGCCGGGTTGCTTACATCTTGATGTTAACTCCACATTATTGCCTATTACAAAATCAGCACTTAAGCAACACTGATTAGATGAATGGGTGAATGAACTGTATTTCATACTGCTGCCAGATTTAGTAGTTCCAGTCCATCATGTTATATATACTCTCTGCTTTTTACAGTTTTCATTGCACACATAAAATACACAAACTTAATTGGACAGCCTGAATTTATACACTTATATGTGTGTTTATGTGTACACACATCACACGTGCATATGTTTGTGTTTGCAAAAGTATGGATACATGTGCATGCATGGTATACACATATGCATGTGTGCATTATGTAATGCAATGCATGTGTGTTTGTGTGTGTGCATGTGTATAGCATGTTTGTGTATGCAGGTCTGTGTATATGCGTGTGTGTGGCTCTGTGTATTCAGGTGTGTGTATATACACAGATCTGCGTGCATACATGTGTGTACATGTATATACATGTATACCTACATTTGTGTGTATCTGTTTGTATGTGTGTATAGATACATACTTGTGTGTGTGTGTGATCTGTAACCACCACCCAGATTAAGAGACCCATCATTTCCAATACCCTAGAAGACTCTCTTTTGCTTTCCTTAGTTCGTATCACCTGCTACTCCCCAACCAGAGCTAATGGCTATTTTGACTTAGTTTCATTTGTTCTTGAACCTCATTTGAGTGGAATCATACACTATGTAGTATTTTGTGTCACTTCTCTTTGTGATTTTGTCTGTAAGACTGATACTTACTGTTTCTTTAGCAATAGTTTGTGGTATCATATTCTATTGGCACAGTTAATGCTGACAAACATCCATGAAATGAAAAACAACCCAGGACCACTGATTAACTTAACATTCTATTCCTTTAGGATATACGCGGTATTCCAAGTGATCGCTTGAATAGAGTGCTAAGAACCGTGGAATCAGCAAGACATGAGCGAGAAAAACAAATACCCAACATTCAGCAGATTCGCGAATTCCTTGAACATCAGGTCAGCTGTAAAATTGAGGAGAGAACACTACTAGCTGCAGGTAAGTCTGTTACCAACTGCCATGTCATTTCTGCAGACGGGAGTGAAACAGAACAACTGTTTCATAATTTTAAATGGTTCACAAACTTCGACACTTAATTATCAACTCTATTACTATTTGAACAATTAAATGCTGGGTCTCAAATTTTGTTTTTACATTAAAAACCTCCTGTAGTGAGGACTCTAGTCCCCAGAGATTGGCTGGGCTTGTTCATTTCAGTGCCACTGTAGACAGTGTTGTAGTGTTTTCTTTTGCTTTTCATGCCCTGGAGACTCATGAGTGACACTGCTATTCCAGATAGGTACAATGCTTCTCAAGTGGATACCCTTTCAACTGGAGAAATACCCAAAGCAGTACACCTTCCTCCCAAAAGCAGACAGTTGATTAGACAAAGACCTGTTTTTACTGATAAGACATCTCTTCCGAAGTGAGTATTTTCAACCTTGAATTTTTTTTTATTGATGTTTGTCTCAGTCAGCTTGGGCTTCTGTAACAAAATACCATAGACTGGATGGCTTTAACAATAGAAATTTGTTTTCTAACAACTCTGGAGGCTGGAAGTCCAAGGTCAGGGTGCCAGCACAGTCAGGTTCTGGGGAAACTTCTCTTTTGGGGCAGACAAACTCCCTTCCTGCTGTGCCCTCACAATGCAGAGAGAGCGCGAGCCTTGGTCTCTCTTCCTCTTCCTACTAGGACCCTAATTCCTTCATGTGGGCCTCACCCCCATGACCTCATCTAAACCTTATCACCCCATCTCCAGATACCATTACACTAGGGATTAGGGCTTCAACATATGAATTTTAGGGGGACAAGCATTCAGCCCACAGCAGTGTTTGATCCAATGGAGAATCACACTTGGAATGCCTCCCTGTCTCTGTTAGCTGCTGCTCACTCTCTAATAAAGCAAATTCATAGATATTTATTTTAAATTCTGTTATTTACTCATGCTGGAAATATTTTTCTATTGTTTTTAGAGTTAAGAAAAATATCATGGAAGATCATTTTCCCAGAAAGTCCTCAACTATTGCGTGAGTACTGAGAGAGCAGCTGGTGGTGATTTTAAAAAATTCTTTTCATTGAACATTCCTTTCATTCCAAATGAGTATGCTCACCGTGGTTCACTGGACCCATAGTTACTACACGTAATATTTAATTTGTGATTCCTGTGTGACATCTTTGTTTCTTTATCAGATATTACCTAAGTCAACAGCATTTATCCCATGTGGCCTCCGTAAACAAGTAAGGCCATGCCTGAGTCATTTCTGTTACCCACCCCCCTCCCTGTCCCCATGTCCAATAATTTTCAATAAGCATGATAAATTAAATGCATGATGTTGCTGGACCCGTGATAGTGCAGTCAGATGATATTTTAGTGTGGAAGTTGATAATGGCCCTAGACTTTACTCTCTTAGGCTCTCTTAGGATACTAAGATTCCCAGCTCAATCATTTGTTAACTGTGCCACCATTTCAGCTGCTTACCTGTTTTAAGCCTCAGTTTTCTTATCTGCAATACGGGATGCTGCTGCCTTTTTCACAGGATAATTCTATAGATGAAATGAGAACATATGAAAAGGGCTTGGCCTCAGTGCTTGGCACTTGTGGCTACTCAATAAACTATAGGTATATTACTGTTGTTATGAGTAAAACTAATTTTATAATAATTGAATTTCATCATTGGCTTATTCTGGAAATGATGCTTTATATCTTCATTAAGGCATTATGTATATGTAGTAGAGGCAGTATATAATATAGTAGAGACTATAAATAATAATTCACCCTTCAAAACCACTTTTCATGTACATAATCTCATAGGAAGAGCCTATTTCACGGGATGTAGTATAACTGAACACTATCTGGAATTTAGGTGCTCAATGAATATTTTTTAAATGAATGAATACAAATCTGAATTTGTTTCACTTTAAAATAGGGCGATAATTCATGTGATAGTACAAATGAGATTGTGTACTTATGTAAAAGTACTTGGTAGGGTGCAGTGTAAAGGTAAGCTGCAAGTAATGACACTATTTTAAAAGACGGTGTATTTTATTGCAGAAATTTTTCTTCCCCTGCAAAATGTTTTTCTTAAGTGTGTGAAAACCAACATTAAGAATGTACAAATTTGATATGCATGACTGGGACATTGTGCTGTACACCAGAAATCGACACATTGTAACTGACTGTACTTCAAAATAAACAAACAAATAAATAAGCAAATAAAAATTTTTTTAAAGAATATACAAATTTGGGTTTAGAGGAGTAATGTCATCACTTCAGTCCATTTTGGTAAATACACCACGTGGTTGGCAGGTCTGGATTTGAAGTGACTTTTTAGCCTTTTGCCTAAGTCCTGGACCTGTCCGCTGTCTTGTTCCATGGCCACACAGTCGTTTGTGATGCTCCCTGAGAAAGTTCCCACCACTTTAAGGGGTGACTCCTGAAACAGGAAACAGTGCCCCTTATTTCAGTTCTGATTTGTGTAGGACCCCTCCCTTTAGTTCAGAGGAAGAGCTGGATGATGACGACCTCATCCGGGCATATGCGTCCCCAGACTTACTTCCTGTGCAGTCGTCTAAAAGCAACAAGAGTAGCCTGGGAAAGAGCACCGCCAAAAGCGACACTGACTGGACCGAGGGAAGTGAAATAGAGGACTCTGACATTTCTCCCAAGCCCACAGGTAAGCTTTTATCATTGAAAATCTCTCACATTTTATTTAGGACAGTGATTCTCAACTGGGGACACCAAGCACTGGGACTGGGAGCTGAGAAAGTGCTCAGGAAAGGAGGAGGTTAATCCAAAAAGCTCCTGCTGCCTGAGGAAAACAGACTGGACTTGGCAAGTCACTGATGTTCAGGTGGGAGGAGAAGAAGGAGTTGGGGAGGCCTGGATGTATTAGTAACAAATACAAGGGCTGCTATAACAGAGAACCATACACTGAGTGGCTTGTCTCACAGGAGCTGGAAGGCCAAAATGAAGGTGGCAAGGTTGGTTCCTTTGAGGGCTGTGAGAAAAGGGTCTGCTCTGTGCTTCTGTCCTTGGCTTGTAGATGGCTGTCTTCTCCCTCCACCTCATCACATCAGCTTCCCTGTGTGTGTGCATCTGTGTCCAAATTTCCCGTGTTTGTAAGGACCTGGTGACCTCATCGTAACTTGATTACCTCTTTAAAGGTCCTTTCTCCAAATCAGGTCACATTCTGAAGTACTTGGGGAAGGACTTAAACATAGGCACTTGGGACACAATTCAACCCCTAACACTGGGTCACTGTGAGAACAGCTGTTCTACTACACAGTGCTGCATTTTGGAGATGGGGCAATCCTAAAGAAACAAAAGGTCCAAGTTTATAACTGCTGATAATTTGCTGAAGAGAACTGAAGCTAAAGGGTCATTTCAAAAAAAAAAAGAAATTCTGTTTAATGCAGTTTAAAAATTACATATTTAAGCATATCAGATGTAATTTACTGTGTATAATTTGTATATACCATGTATTTATATAATTATGTAAAATATAACTACTCGTTTAAAAATAATTGATTTTTAAATACTGTATGAATATACTATTCTGTAGGCTCCTTCACTAGAATTATAAAGTTTCTGACCATGTACCTGAATGAGACCATCCTTCCTTGATTTAAAATAAAAATTATATTCTTCTAGTCTAGAGGACTATGATTTTTTTAAAGGAATTCTAAGTGTTTAATGTAACCTTTTTAACCCCCAAAATACATCAGTTGATTTAAATTTAACAACGTATAATTACTTGCAAAGCCTAGACTCTCAAATTGTTTGTAAGGTTATTTTGGAACTGAAGATAGATATTAATTTTTTTCAACTTCACCTAATTTCTATTGGTCCTACAGGAACCTCCATTAAAACATTAACTGGAAAAGTTGAAAAGACGGTTTCAAATCACAAAAATGTGAATAAGCCAGTTGGTGGGATTAATGTTGCTGAGGCATTCATCAAAAAAGAACTAAAAGAAGATCTAAAGGTGAAATCACTTTTACTTGCTAAACATACACAGACAAATCATCTTTTAATGAATACACCTTAATAGTTGTATTTTTTATAGTGAAATGTAAAACAAATATAATTGTTACAGAAACGACAGGCTAGCCAAGAAACAAGCACCACTTGGAGGGTTGGTGTACTCAGATGTATTACACCGGCAGGCTCAGAGGGGCTTCTGCTCCAAACCTCTGAGCACCTCCAAGACGTATGCATGAGGTTTTATAGGGCTAATTACAAGCTTGGGGTTATTAGCCAACAAGGTACGAACAGCAAAAGCAGGGAATCAGTACACTGGAACTTATCTAGTAGGAACGGATCATGTTACTGACACTTGTTGAGCTTGGATTTAAGAGTTAGCTTGTTATCTGACTAAACTTCAGATTTACGAGTTAGCCCAGCAACACTTAGATCAGTAAACCGACACTTACTACATTTAATTTACGAGTTAGCTTGTTAGTCCAGCCTGTCTTTTCCTTCTCATAATTATTTTAGTATAGTAGAGGTTGGGGTTTTTACCGTGTTTTCAGTATTGTTTCTTCCCATTCCACAGAGAATCAGAGATATTGGAAGGATAACTAGTAATAACGCATCATACACTTACCAAGTTTTACAGGTTTTCAGAATCCTGTCCCATGCATCATTTGACTTTTGCAGACATTAGGTAGTTTATTCACGGTCACTTGTGGCTGACCAGAACCTGGGGCCTTCGGGTCTGAGTCTGGGGACCTTTCTGCTACTGTAGGTGACCTGGAAGTAGGGGCTTTCCAGGGTTTACTCCCACTTTGGGAGCCAGAGTCACAGGAGAGATGCTTCAGGGAGACTAAGCAAGCGGAGGGCAGGGCCGCGCTCCTCTGAGGCTGATGGAGGCGAGGCCGCACATTCCGGCGGCTCCGGCACCTGGACGCCGGAAGGGTTTCCGTGGGGTCAGTCCCCGCGCGGCTCGTCTGTGTTTACCGGGTCTTCCAGTGTAGTTGCTCTTTTTCACTTAAAGCAGACGTAATTCTTCCCCTGTTCACCTACGGAATCCAGAGCTTTCGTCACATTACTTTTGTAAGTTAGCACCACCTGTGTTACACAGCCTAGAAATGAGAGGAAGTGACGTCATGGAGAGCGCGCCGACGCGTCCTACTCAGAAAGGGCGCCGGAGAAACAAGCGTGCCTTTGGTCGGGGGCCGGTTCTGCAGGGCCTATGTGATGTGTCCTGCAGTTAAATGTCCTGTTATCACAAAGGTAGGAGCCCCAGAGCCAGCCTAGCTCCTCCTTGGGGAGCACCCTGACTTGAGTTCTGCAGCGTAGTGTTTACAGGATGTTCTAAATTCGTGATTGATGAGTAGGAAACGTAACATTTCCATGCAGTGAAACAGACAATAAACATGGTTCGCTCCACTTTCACAGCACAGATTTCCATGTCATTGCCCTCCAGAGATGACCAGATAGGGGATCCTCCGAGGCTCCCGACTTCTTATCATGTGTGTCGGTGGCTCAGTCTGGCCAACAGAGTGATTGAGGGGCTTGAACATGCAGTTTCTTTAAGAAACATTCATTATCCTCCACGTGTTGTTTTTTTTTTCTTCAGTGTGCAGATGTGGATGACGACGACTGGGACATATCATCCTTAGAGGAAGAAAAATCTTTGGGGAGAAGAATCGGGAGAGAACAGAGGGAACCCCCACCTGTGAAGAAGGAATCAAATTCTATTCAAGTGCCAAGTGCCTGGGGTGCAACTAACCTGAAAGGGCCAAAGGGAGAAGGTTCGCTCCTTTGGTGTCTAGTAGAAGCCTTTTTAAGTATCTAATTAAACTATGCTAACATATCATCAGACAAAAAACACTCTGTGGGCTTAACAAAGAATGTTATATTATTCTAATACGGACTGAATGCAAGCAATTTACTTCTTTCTATATATTTACTAACTAAAAAAATTTAACTTTAGGTCTAATTTTTGGTTTTTAAATGTTTAAAATACATTTTTTGAAAATGCCCATACAAATACTCACTTTATGCAGATGCCTCACAGAAATTTAAATTTCTGATCTATACCTAAATGAGGCCATTTTCCCTGACCAACTTCCTGTATTCATCTGTTTACATAGTAAATATTTTTCTTGATTTTCTTCTAAGGAAGGTTTCGTTTCGTTTTTAGCATTGGAGCCAGTGGGATAAATTCATTCACTGCATTTGTTCCTATCCACCCAGTCTAGAGTCTGGATAATAAGTCCAGTAACTTAACTCTCAATCCATTTGATTTTAAAAACCAGAAAACGTCATTTGTGTTCTTTTACTCAAAGTGACTCTTCTCCATGCCACGCCCAACCCCCGCAGTGCCTCCTCTCAGCAGTTCTGCAACAGTGCATCTCATGAGCCGTGCCTCTGAGTAACTGGGCTCAGACCCCTATTTCCAGACTCATCAGCTTTAGACGTGACCTGTCAATGTCCTGCTAAGACAGATGAGGATTTGGCTCTTTTCCCCATTCCCTGCACCACTCATGCCCCTTCTTCAGTACTTTTGTTCCCCTTTCTGTAATTTTAAATGAATGCACGCACATCTCTATATTTGCTCTTTCGGTTTGCAGCAGGATCTCCTGCTGCACTCCGCCCTTTGTAAGATAAGCCATTGCTGCTCTACCCTTCACTTTGCCTCTTCTCTCCACCAACATGTCATTCATAACACTGACCTTCTGTCACCATTGTAAGTTTTCTGTGCAGCGTCTGAAGATCGATCCTAATCGTTGAAAAACCAAAAGACATTTTTATGTTACAGCGACTCTGTAAGGGCACAGGACCAAGAGGACACCTTGAGTACATTTCCTTCCTCCTGCAATTCCGTGACCCCAGGCGCTGAAAGGAAATACTTCTAGAGACATACTCAAGTGGAATTCTCTGCACTGTACTATTTCAGTGGTGGCTCAAGGCACTTTTGAACTAACTTCATATTTAACCTCATCTATCCTAGAAAATCTGTCTTTACCACCTAGTCCCTCCTTGGATTGTTAATTTTGTCCTCCTCTCTTTACCGCTGTCAGCCTCCAGGCCCTGTACTGAATGCCGGGAAAGAGAGGCTGGGAGGAAGCTTCCTTACAAGGGCCCCGCGAGGCTGCCCTACAGACGTGGCCATCCTGTGGCCAGGTTGTTTCCTGCCTCTGGCACTGTCTCCTGTGGGAGGTGGGGTGGCGAGCAGACTCACTCAGTGACAAATTGCAGTGTGAAGTTATGGATTTTTACGGGCTGGACAAGGTGCTTGTTTAATCACTGGGGCCTCCCCTCCCTCCCTCCTCTCTTTCTCCACAGGACTTCAGGATGAATCAAGTACACTGAAAAGCAGCTTAGTCACCGTGACTGATTGGAGTGACTCTTCAGACGTGTAACTGTCATCCCACACGTCAGGAGGTCCTTGCAGACGCCAGCAGTATTTCAGTCCTCAGCCTACAGGACTCCAGTGCTCCTGCCTGACAGTATTTCCCACAATAACAAGGAAGCTGGTTCTGAAAGAACAAGAGTCTCTTTTATGGCACCTAATGCAGTATTGAAAAACAAACTGTCAACAGTATTTTGAAGCATATAAAGGTGTTTAAGACCGCTGCTGCTTTTAAAAATGACGTGTCATTGAAGTCATAAAAGTTTTTTCTTTAGAACGGTACTCTAGTATTTAAGTGTATTTTTTTCAACTAATATTTAAGTGAATTTAAAAAAAAACTTACAGCAGGTTTTGGTTTGAATTAAAACTTTTTTTAATATCTTTCCTGTGTACATTATCACATTGGAAGTGTTTTATTATAAAATTCTGTTAGTATCCTTAGAATTGAATTAGTAGAATCAGTGAAATTCCAAGTGTAGACTGCTTATTTTTCACATAGAAGTAAGTTTAGAGTTACAAAAATGTAGCTAGGCCCATGTTAACTACACTTTCCAGAAGCACCTTTACCATGTGCCACTTTGAGCCATTGCAAGCATGTTGTTTGTTACTGTTAAACAATTAATTTAGATCTGTACTATTTCTGCAGCATAACCTTGACCTTGGATATTTTATGAATAAAATGTAGCAATTTTAAATGTCAATTAATTTATTGGAATTTGAATAGAACAGATCAAGTCAATACTAAATTTGTATGTGTCTGTAGTTTTTTTCACTTTTTTAAAATGTCCAACCATATTATAAAATACCTCAAAACTAATTTAGTTCTTAACAGTGACATTTTCAACAGTCAGAAAGTTCATATAAACTGTTTTTTGCATTTTTTATACTTTGTGGTACTATGTGTACTCTGTTTGCAAAAAAAGTAACATTTTAACTAAATGGTTTGTTGGGTTTTGGATCTCTCTTCATTTTGTCAACCTTTCAAGTAAAGCCCTCCATTACATCCTTGTGACTGTGGCTGAGTTATTCGAGCTGATTTCTGAGTTAGACTTATCTCATTAGGGGCCTGTAGCTTGTCTCGGTAGCTGTGCCATGTTTGCTGACTTAAAGTTAGAACAATTTTTTATGTTTCTGCCCCAGCTTTTCACTTGTGGGCCACTGTCACTCTTTTAAAAACTTCCAACAAAGACCAGCTTATGTAAATGTGCTCGCTTTCTGTATAAGTTTCTAAAAGCTCTAACAAATGTGCTGAATCAAATTTTCACTGTAGTAGGACAGAGATAAGCAACCTACAAAACACCTAAGAGGGCACACAGGCGCCTGTGTTCACTCTGTCACTTATTCCAAAGAGATCTGCTGAGTTTCCTGAGCTTATTTTTTTAACATGCATTATTAGTTCATTTAATCAGAACAAATTTGAAGTGTAGTAATTATAATCTTCATCTTAAAGATGTGATAAACTGAGGGTTACACAATAACTTGCCAAAGGCCATACAACTAGAAAGTAGCATGAGCAGGCTTTAAACCGGGTCTCAGATCCAAGTTCTGGGTCTGCCACGTCTTCATTCCTGAACAGAAAGGGTTGGGGAAAAGTGATGAACTTCCGCTAAGTAAATTCAGCATTTAAATGAAGTCAGTGCATCTGTATCATAAAGGCCACGTCTTTATCCGTTTATTCCATTTTTAGATTGGACCAGAATTCGTTTGTCCATTTTCCTCTGGGCCATCACCTTCAATTTCCTGTTACTGATGCATAGCTAATGTGTTTCTGGCTCCTGAAAGAGCTTTTCTGTACTTTCACCCTTCCTCTCCCTAAATTCTGCAGGAACTGGAATAGTTCAGTACAGTCGAAATATCACCTTCACCAGTACAGCTCTGAAGTATAAAAAATGGTCTTAAACACACACTCACAAAGGCCTGCCGCTACACTGGCCTGTAACACCTAACCTCCGTCCATGGCTTCCAATTCATTTGTATCCCTGGGAACGGTATTCAAGTATTATAGTCTAGTGTATATATATATATATAATACATATACATATGTAACAAACCTGTTCGTTTCCTTTTCTTTCCTTTCAGCACCTCTAAACAATGTGATTTTCCTCTTTAAGCCTTTCACGCTTCAGGAAAATGTTACGGTCACCCATGCCAGTTAGTATTGGAAAGTGTCTGACTCATAGATGACACGGATGCCAGTTCTTACCCAAGGCTTGAAACTGTATATTTCACCCTAGACTGCCTCAGTTCAAAGTCCTGGTTTTGTCACTCGCTGTGGCAAGTTACTTAAACTCTGCTTTCATGTG